TCATCGTCCTCAAGGCCTGGTGGGCCAGGATGTGTTCCACTCTCTCCTACTCCCCCTTCATCTGCTCCCGTGTGCTCCGATTAGATATGTCCCTCTCCCGAGGAGCTGTATTAAAGGGTCGTGGCATTAGGAAGGTTAAGAACCACTGACCTATGGTAACCTTTGTCAAGTTTGGTCTCTTTTTTCCGTGGTTTTCTTGATAAAGTATTCACATGTCATATGCTTCCATGGTTAAATCGTTCTTCAAGTGGCTTGTGTAGTCCCAATCAGTTCTAGTGCTCCCTTCCCCCAGGATGGTGAATCTGTACAGGAGCAGACAGTTTCCTCTTTCTCTGGTGGAGCAGCTGCTGGGTTTGCACCACCAACCTTGAGGTTAGCAGCCCATTGAGTAAGCACTGCACCACCAGGGCTCATGGCACATTTCTGCTAATGCGTGTTTTCGTCCGCCCTGGCCAACAGGGAGTGCTGTTAAACTTTTTGATCATTCAGGCTAGGGATTTTAGGCTTCATCCTGCAAGTGATGATAAGCCATTGAACCGTTTTGAAGCAGGGCAGTGTCACAATCAGATTTGTATTTTGCAAACATGACTTGGACAGCTTGAGGATGATAGTTTAGCGATGCAAAGACTAGCATCATAGATTCAATCAAAGGGCTTTCCAGCCGAGGCAAGATGTAGCTTGTAGTCCTGGCGTGATGGGATTGCTGGCAGCTTGGAGTTCGGCAGAGGAGGTAAAGAGAAGGAAGGATCCTGAGACACGGAGGAGAAAGGGCCAGCAGGACCCAGGGATGGATGGCACTGGGGCTCAAGGGAAGCGAAGGTCATTTCGATCAAGAACCTTCACTTAGGAGTCTCGTGCACAGCACGTTTCTGTGCAGCCAGTACTGTCTTTGCCCACGGAGAGGCCTGTGTCCATATTAATGTTTAGAGTTGTTAGAGAAGACTGATATGGTCACGAGGTCTATATTTTTCCAAAGAAAGTGCTAAGCGACGAGCCTCTCTGCTCCTGTAAACTTTCGCCATGAAAATCCTACATCTGGTAGACAGGGCCATGCGTTTGGTTGAGGTTAGTCCTAGAATATCAGAAGTTAAAAGAAGGCTCTAACATCTTACTGATAATAATTTGCTGACCATTTCTTTCCATTTTATTTTACTTTTATATTTTCTCATTTCTGCACCATATGCTCCTCACAGTATTTACCATAAAATTTCCTTTTTCTCAAATGCTTTCCAATTTGTCTGTATTTTTGGTTCTTCTTCACTATCTTTCCTGAGCTCTGACAGCTCACATGTTTCCTCTCTTCCATCTCTTTTTGACTTCTTACATTTTTTCCTATTGAATTCTTGCTTGTATTCTCCCTTCATAAATGAAGTTTCTTCATTAAGCTTTTAAACTTATTGGTGAAACAGACTGGTTAGAATTTTCCTCAGTTTCAAAGTGGGTGAAGGGAGATGTCGAACAGGACAAGATATGACAAAATGATAATTTATAAATTATCAAGGACTCATGAGGGAGGGGGGAGGGGGGAGGGAGGGGAAAAATGAGGAGCTGATGCCAGGGGCTTAAGTGGAGAGCAAATGTTTTGAGAATGATGAGGGCAATGAATGTACAAATGTGCTTTACACAATTGATGTATGTATGGATTGTGATAAGAGTTGTATGAGCCCCTAATAAAATGATTTTTAAAAGAACACAACAGAAATGTGGATGTGGGGAGGCAGTGGTCAGTGTAAGGGATGGAAACAATAACAATTTATCAAGGGGTTACAAGGATGGAAGAAGGATGAGGGAGGGGATAAAAAGGAGCTGATACCAAGGGTTCAAACAGAAAGTAAATGTTTAGAAAATAATGATGGCAACATATGAACAAATATGCTTGATACAGTTGATATATGGAATGTTATAAAAGCTGTAAGAACCCTCAATAAAATGTTTAAAAAACAAAACAAAACCAAAAAAAGAATTTTCCTCAGTTTCAAGTTAACATTTCTAGCGGATGTTCTTGGGGAAGCTTGGCTTCTCTTTCCCATGTTTTGTTCATGATGGCTTTTAGCGAGCGCTCCGCTGCCTCTATATTCTATCACTTATAACGGACTTGCGAGCACTTTTTAGAAGCTTCCTTCGGGGGTTGTGTTTTGTTGCTGGTGATTTCTGAGATCTGACCCTGGGCCAATCCACTCTTCTCTCCATGTGTGCGTTTTGCTCTTACTTCTCCTCAGTTCTCCCCGGTCGTCTTGTTGCTCTGTGCACCGGAGTTAATTCTGCCTCATAGCAACCTGATGTAACAGAGTAGTGCGGCCCGTAGGGTTTCCTAGTCTGTACCCACTGGGGTGTTTGAACACCAACCTTGGGTAAGCAGCCAGGTGCTGAGCCATTGCGGTACCAGGGCCCCTTCATGATCCTGCAGCCCTTCTGCACAAAACTCGTGGATGCATCTCTTTAGCATGAACCCCTTATCTCTAATGCCCAGTGACTGTGCTGCTTCATTCTGAGACCCACTGTTCCTGAGCTGTTTCACTGGTTATTCTGGCCCCCCTGCCCCCACGCAGCTTTTGTTCCCCTCCCCCTACAGCCCCTCTGCCCCCAGCATCTGCCTCTCCTTCCTTTTGGTAGCCCTTAGCCATTTAAAAAAAAATGTATGGATCCCATTTACCTTTAGTTTCACTAGAGACGGAATCTGCTTACTTTGTTGCTTGTTTCCTTGGTTATCTTGATTATGTTCGAGGAACACACCAGGTGTGGGGGTGTGGGGGGATGATTAGTCGCATGCCACCATGTCTAGACAGAAAATCCTTTGGTTATATTGGGATGGGTAGCATTAACTAGAAAGGCCAATAACTTAGGGTTTGGAGCTAGGTTCTAATCTAAACTAGGCCATCAACTGGCATCAGACCACAAGCAGATTATACTCTGTCTTTGACCATCAGTGTTCTTATCTGTAAAATGGGGACAGGTCTCGGACAGGGCAAGAGATGACAAAATAATAATTTATAAATTATCAAGGGCTCATGAGGGAGGGGTGAGCGGGGAGGGAGGGGGAAAAATGAGGACCTGATGCCAAGGGCTTAAGTGGAGAGCAAATGTTTTGAGAATGATGAGGGCA